AGTTGGAGATGATGTCTTTGATGAAGATCCTACAGTAAAAGGTAGCGAAAAAAATTTAATTTTAAATTTTAAATGGAAAAGTTCGTTAAATCGTGCGTGTAATAAAAAAAATATAAATATTATCTGATAATGCAGCATCGCAGCGTACGATGGTAAGAATCTAATCTATCTAGCAATCCAATAGGAAAACAAGCACCGTGTACTGCCGGCTTTACTTCCCTATTTAAAACCATTTTCTTTCAAGCTTCACGTAATCAATTTTATTTCTTATAAAAAAATTATTTCTATATAATAGACTTGCTAGTTTATACGTCCTGTTTAAAATGCCAAATATTTACAATAATATTCTTGTTTTATTGACTTTTATGTTTTAATATGTCGTTAATATATAGTTGTATACTATATTTTATTTACTTTTATATATTATTATTGGTTGATAAGTCGTTTTTTTTAGTATTACAAAATAAGGCTGCGACGTTGGTTGGAAAGGAAGATGCGCTTTTTGTTAGTTCTGGTACAATGGGAAATTTGATCGCTGGTAAGAGCTTAAATATTTTTATTCATTTAATTGATTATGAGAAATATGGGGAAGGATCTTTTTATATTATAATTATAAAATTGATCTCTATTTTTTGTTAGGATTCTAAATTAAATCCATCATATTAGAAAAGATTTCCCTAATAATATAATACCCGTGTCACACTACGCATTGAAGATTGAGGATTGCAAATTAAAGATTAGAATTTGACCAATCAGATAATTTTAATTTTAATCCGTTTTGTTCCGATTGGCTGAATTCTAATCCTCAATTCGCAATCCTTAATCTCCAATGTGTAACGTAACACAGGCATAAACGCATTTTGTTCAAAGAAAATTTTATGCTAACCGTCTTTTCTCTCCTTCCAGTTATGAATCATTGCGATGTACGTGGCAGCGAAATATACTGCGGAAACCAATCGCATGTGTTTCTTCATGAACAAGCTGGTGCGGCGCAGATAGCTGGTGCGGGCTTCCACATCTTGCCTAACAACGATGACGGTACGTTCGATCTAAAGGAACTCGAGGGCGCGATTCGCGCGGATCGTATACATGAACCGGTCTCAAAGCTGATCATGGTAGAAAACACATTTAACGGAAAGATCGTACCTCAATCGTGGATAGAAAAATTGGCGATAATAGCGAAAAAGCATAATCTTAAGATGCATTTGGATGGCGCTCGACTGTGGAATGCCTCAATTGGATCGAAGATTTCGGCGAAGGATATAGTCGCTCCATTTGATTCGGTTAGTTTTTGTGTGAGCAAAGGATTGGGTGCTCCTGCCGGATCCCTGCTCTGCGGAAGCAAGAGCTTCATCGCTAACGCGAGAAGAAGGCGCAAGGTGCTAGGTGGCGCGATGCGACAGGTTGGCGTGATCGCGGCGGCTGGACTCGTCGCTCTGGAGAGAATACCACAACTAGTAGAGGATCACAGAAGAGCATGGATTCTCGCGGGGACGATCAATCAGTTGAATTCTAAAATATTTACTGTAAATATGGAGACCGTGCACACCAACATGGTATTCGTGCATGTGAATACCGACAGCGGCATTTCCGCTGGGACTCTCATGAAGAGGCTCCAGCAAGTGAACCAGAAAGTGGACGATCCCTGTGAAGACGATAAAATTTTAGTCAGATGTTTGGCTCTCAAGGAAAATTTGCTTAGAATTGTTCTTCATCTTGATATCGATGATATGATGGTCGATAATGCTATGCGTAAATTAAAATATGTCATCAAGGAATTGGATCCCCAAGTAACAAATCAAATTTTTGACAAAAGCAATAAGCAATAAATTAAGAAACCTTATTAAAGTATAAAATATTTGCTAAAAATACAAATTGTAAATTAAAAAAAATAAATTAGAAAATGTATTGTGGTTTTATTGTATTATTATATGCATATAATAAATAAAAAGTCAAGTCCAGTTTGAATAAATACCGAATTGTATCTTGAAACATATTCCTAGATTTCATATATATATCTATTAATCAAAGTATCTGAATTTCTATTAATTAATTATATCAAAAAGTATTTGAGTAATAAAATTCCATAAATCAAATATTGTATTGAAATCTTCTCATTTATTTTCTTTATAATACTCTTGTTTCCACAAAAATTTTCTTAAAAGCAATCTATTACCGATCAATGGTGGGCGTAAGCGTAATTAATGGAGGCTGTTAACTTTGAAACGCATCATTAACAGGCTCATCATCATCCTCATCTTCCTCGCCCTCGCTTTCAAAGGTATTATCAGGAATATCATATAATCGAATCATAGGCTTATTTGGATCCTTCATTATCAAATATTTGCCATCCTTCTGCTTCATGCAAATGTCGATGATACATCTTAGGATGCCCCACGCGTTGTCCATGTTCAAATTAATTTGCGTCGCAAATTCATTCGGTTTGTACTGTTGAGTACCGAGAATAACGTGTTTACTCGAGTCTCGCACTATGGCGCGTGATACGTATCCAAATTTCAGCTGATCCGAACCGGCTAGTAACGCCTGAACCGTCCATTTGGCGAGTTTACAGGCGTTATTGCGCAATTCGTTAGCCAAAACCGCGCCACGTTGCGTGTCTAGCTTCTGACGCCACTCGACTCCATTAGCTAGCTTTGAATCCCATTCGTTTAATGCCTTGATCGTCAGGAATTGGTTTTCATTGTTTGGACCTTGCATCACAGCATCGTGCTCGCATCGGGCGACAAGGACTATGCCATTGTTAAGATCCCACTTACGATAACGATAAGCCACACTGGCTACATCGCTCTCTTCTTCCTCTGCAATGAATGGGTTACCTTCCTCAAACTTGTATCGTGATTCATTTGACTTGAGCACCTGCTGTGAGAAATTGTGATTGATGAAAGTCGCCTCAAGGGCCAAATTTCTGGGTGAATTCAGTGAATTGCCGTCGTCCTGTGGCGGCTCGACACTAGTCTCGTTTACGGTCAAAAGATCAAATTCGGTGTTATCTCGTTTATCAAAGAACAGCTTGTCACCAATCTTTTCAATGACGATGTCCCACGAATAATTGCTACGTGTACAGCACATGATAGTAGCCAAGATTGCATCAGTAGCATATACATTGCCCTCAGTTTTCGACAATTTTCGAACTATTGGATCATCGGTAGTTGTGACCGTGTGGAAAATACGATCAATTCTCTGTAGTGGCTTCTCGCTCTTGACATTCACGCGATCGTACGTTTTGTCATAATATTCAAGCGAGCCGCAACATGATATATCTTCGCCATCTTTCACGCCAGGCAACGAGAGCTTAGCCAATCGGGGAAAGTCCATTTCTTCGATAGTTATCCAGTCAGGTCGCACTGTTACAGAAGCATCTCGGATCTTGATAGGCGGCTGATTCTTATGATTGCGCAGACCTTGCTGTCTACCCCAACGCTTTGCTTGTCCCTTACGCTCCCGTTCTCGCAATTTGAGCTTCCCTAGCTGCTGCATCTGGCTCAATCCACCACGCTGACCACCGCGACCACGCAAGTTACGCTGATTGTGACGAAAGCGGCCACGTTGATACGGCGGCTTCTGCACACGGGTAGTATCCACCAAGTGGAAGGTGGTTTCATCTTCATCATGATAGTAGGCATATTGACTGCCTGAACCAAACTGCGATGTATATTTGTCTACAAAAATAATTAGACATAAATTTCATACATATATAATTATAATGTATCAATAAATTAATTTTGCGTACGTAATATAAAAAACAAACTACATTAATAAATTTTTCAATATAGTCGTTATATATCTTTTATATATAATCTAGTTTATAATAAATTATATTAGATCTAAAATCTGTTCAATTATACTTTTTATATCATTTATCTTTCCTCTTTTCGCTCCAAAGAGAGAACTTTGGAGAGAAAAAGAGAAAAGATGAATGATACAAAAAATTATTAATAATAATGCTAAGTAATCTATTCCATTTGATAGAATTTTGCTCAACATACAAATTAAAGAAAAAAAGATAATCAATTGTTATATCAAAATATGTCATTTCTACGAGACAAAAAATTATTTATCTAGATAAAGTTTAACAAAATAGTTCTATGTATATTAATTAGAATTTTATCTAATATATCCAACATTTGACACATATACATCTGTCAAACCTTGCTCCAGTCTTAAGATTAACTCAAATAAAAACTGTCGTCTTCATTTAACGACGATAACGACATATGTGACACAAAAATGCCAACAAGGCTTCCAGCCGAGTCCCCGGGATCAGAGTCTCCTGATCTTTGAGGTTAAGCGCACGTGAGCAGTCGGCAAAGCGAAATACGTACTTGGGAACTTTTTGTCCTGGAAAGCAGGAGTGGTCCAGTCGGAGATCTATGGAAAATAGCAAACCGATAGGTAAGCGCGATTTATGGGACGAAAATAAAGTTCGAATAAGTCTCACAACACTCACCTTGCCCAATCTGTCGCCTTTCGAAAATGGCTGGTAAGGAATGTCCTTAAACTGATCCGGCAGTTCGCAGGGACCCCAGCCGTCCGGATTGTGCTGGATCGCCGGTGCCTGGAAGTGCGCCGCTACTTCCTCCTTCTGGACAGGGTCGTCCAGCACCACTACGTCTACGTCCGTCATGCTGATGCTCGGTTAAATTTGTCACACATCGATTCAATTCGACGTCAAGTCACTCGGCAGCTCGGTACGACCGACCTGACCACTACTCGAGTCACTCCACCACTATGATGGCTCCTCTACCGTCTCCACCGCCGGAAATCCTGTCTGCACCATCTTCCCCGTTTGCCGCATCGCATCGCAATAGGTCTGTTCGTGTTGCTTGCACTTTTGGCACTCGATATCTTCGCTTTCTCTCTTTTTGAAGCAAAATATGTATCTGTCTCATTTTAAGTGCAAAAATATTTGGGGAATTTAAGCAACGCGAACAGACCTAGTGCTGTCAATTCATTTATTCATGAAAGTGGCAACATTGAAATCATTAGGGCGACTTCGATCAGACTGGATCAGATGGTGTTAGTGATTATCTTGGGAAGAAAATTTCGATTTGTGTGTAACGTGCTAAACATATAAGTAAATACATTAACTATTTATTAACGTACACGCGTAATGTGTAATATATTTTAAATGTATTGCTGTTTATCCATTTATGAATGGATGAATGTATATTCGAATCGTTTTAACCTATTCCGAATGGGTCTAACCAACAAATGTTATTGCATTTTATTACGTAAGAGACGTCTAAAAGACGATTAATTTTCATTCTAACAAAATTCAACAATATATAAAAAAATTATAATTTAGAATTTGTGATCTCGATGTGTAATTGAGAGGTTATTTGGATAATTCACGCTTGTTGTGCAAAAAAGAAGTTACTTGTTGATGACAAAAACATAGATACAGAATTCTTCCCCAAAATTGAGCGTGACTTACTTTTTAGGCAATCATGTTGAGGTCACGTCTCATTAATGTGCAGAAAGCTATTAAACGCAACATCAGCACCAACGTTCCTGCTTTGCAGAAAGCAAGTGATCCCATACAGCAGCTCTTCGTTGACAAACTTCGGGAATATAAATCAAAAAGCGTGTAAGTATACTTTTCAATTTTTTTAAATATTTTGGGGGAAATATTTTTGCAAAAAATATTATTTATACTTCGAACAGAAAAAGAATATAATTAAATTTTTAGTGTAAAAGAAACTAAAAGAACTGCCTATGTTTCTTATTTATATTTGTTCATTGTTGTATTGTTCTGTTTAGAAAAGATAACAGTATTAATTAGAATAATAATTTGAAAAAGAAAATATATTTGTCTCTAATTAAAAATAAAATTAAAAGTTTAAAAAATATTTTACATAGCTGCAAAATATAAATAATTAGATGTAACTAATAAATCAGATTCATTAAATATTGAACTATAATGTATTTTTATATTATGTCAAGATAAGATGTTTAAAGAATATTAAATGCTATAAAAATTTTTCTTTTATTTAAAGAGGTGGGAAATTAGTTGATCCCAGTCCGGATATCACAAGAGAACGAGATTCTGAATTAGAAAAACTTAACACGCAATATGGTGGTGGTTCAGGAGTAGATATGACTCAATTTCCTCAATTTAAATTTGTTGGTAAGTTACTTATAAAACAAATATCAGTCTTTCAGATGTCTGTTTTAAATTGAAAAGTTATTACAATTTTGCCTACATGCAAGCAAACATATAGCAAAATAATTTAATGTATATTGTACCTTATTTCAGATCCACCTGTGGATACGGGTATTAAAAACTGAACATGTATCGATATGTATCAATAGGACATTCATGTATTGTTGAACTATTAAATATTAAGTAAGTCATCTTAAAAATATATATAGCTGTAAATTATAATCTAGTTTTTTTAACCTAAACAGTCTAAAACAAAACAAATCAATAAATTTAGTGATAAATTATCATAAAGGGAGAAAACCCTGATTTAGTTACTAACTTATAAAAAGTTTCGTGTTATCTACTATCTCTGCTAAAATAGTCATTTTACATTTCGTGGCTATAGATTTACATATATTTACATAGCTTGTGACTTCATCTCGTGAAATTAAATTATCATATTCGCCTGAGCAAGAACATAACAAGTTCATGTTGTCTCGTTTGATTTCCTTACACTTTCGGCATTGTAGATCTTGTAATACGTAAGCCATACTTTTACGATTCAATTTGTCAATTAGTGAAAATTCTATTTCTGTATTGTCGTAAGATGCATCACAGTTAGGACATTTCCACGTGAACCTATAATAATAATAATAATACACCTTTAGTGCATACCTTTGTCTAAATATTACATTATTTTCATATTTAACGTACTTGTTATTTTCATTGGTGAAATATTCATCTTTACAAAGATCAATATCTCTCGTGCGATTGCATAGTTTGCATATAACTTGTGGTAAAACAAGAGAAATACACGGTTCCTTCCACTCAACATTATCGCTATAACTGCCGACTCCAATTAATCGTAAAAGATTTGTTTTTAAGTTGTAAACCTCATGTTCCATCTCTTTATCCAGAGATAAAACCTGAAAATTTCACAGGTAATCTTTAATATCTCGAACAATTCAAATATTGTTGAAATGTTTATAAAGTAACGTTACCTTGCATACTGCTTTGATTAATTCAAGTGCAGGATTGATTTTTATACTTTCTTTTCCATTCATATTCAAATTAGGATATTCCTCGAGAGTTAATGTCTTTTCCGTCAGGTTCCGATGTATCTTTTGAGTTATTCTGTAAATAATAAATATGCCTTTCTCAAACTATCGATTTTTCCAAGCACAAAATATCAAATATTAAATTTATCTCAATTCTTTATATAAAGCTTCATATTAATTTTAGAGACTGTAAAAGAGATAAATATGTACTTGAATAATCTTTGAGATATTTCTCCTGATATCAATTTTTTTGCAAACTCGGCTGTATTTTCCAATGCACCTAAACCAAGTGGTGCTATAAATGATTGGCTTTGGCTTTGTCTTCTTCTGGGCCTTATAGTGTTATTAGTTTCATTCTCGATCATACACTGATATACTGCACGTATATATCCTGCTATTACAGCATTAAAACTTGCTTGACATCCTGCTTCTGTAGGCAGGCATTCCATCAAACTCCAATTCATGATTAGAAGCTAAATAAAAATAATTCAATAAGTAGAAAAATATCGTCAAAGCATTATCAATGCAATTTCTACAAATGTCTATAAATATGCTTATTTTTTACCATGTCATCGTCATCATTTTCAGTATTCTCATCATCTCCCGTATCATCTTTAGGTGACTGTCCTTTAATACCAGCATGATTGTGCTGATGAGAAAATCAAATATGTAATCAAAATGTTATACTAAACATTTCATGAATCAAATAATTGATGAATCATACCAAGTCAAGCCATACTAGGTATTCCCAACATTGTTCACAAGAAATATCAATACTGTGAAACAGCTCTTTGTTTTGTATGGTTTGAACAACAAACTCTATATAGCCTAAAGCATCGCTCACAGATCTTTTCTTTGTGCATACAATAATCTTATTAAAGTTTGCAAAAACTATAATACAACCTAACGTTTTGAATTGTGCTATTAATTGTATATATAACTTTTTCATATAAGTATGTAAAGTGCGGCGTAGAGCAGGATCATAAAGCAAAGCGTTTGAAGACCTCAGCCACCTGGAATCATATAAATATGTACATGCGTGTTTATATAACGGAGTAATATATAATTAAGTATATAATTAATAACAATACGAATAATAATAGCGTACCGATAGAAATGGATCAATTGATAATCCGCGAATGTATTTTTATATAGAGATACATCAAGCAACCATGTGTTTACCATGTTTCGCAATATTTTAAACGACGGATTGCATAAAGTGATTTCGTCGTAGCTGGGAATAACTGTTGCAGCATCACTGCCCATTGCCATATCCTATTGAATAATTTAATATAATTTATACAGTTATATATATATATATATACAATATAGTCAATTTAGAGAAATTATTGCAAATGAATTTTTAAAAAGTACTGTTAATTAATTTAGAGGAGTGTATTTTTTGAAACATTTTAAATAATTTTTAAGAGATGTATAAAACTGACCTGGACGGATGGACGCTGTTGATTGTGAAACGCTACAAATGTGCTAGTTCCATCTATATCGTGAATATGATTATATTGCAGCAGTGCACTGACCGCTAAATAATCTACTTCCAACTGGACGCAAACACTAGAATATGTGCCTGGGTTGTTCGCAGCGCAGCTCGAACTCTCCTCAAAGTCTGTCAGTAGCCTGTTATCGTCATTTTCGCTACCACCTAAATCGGGTTTCTCCGTAGGCGAACACCATAGGACAAAATTATTCCTGTACAAATTTCTAGCGTAGAATAAATCGGCGCCAAAGAGTGAAGTATCCGCGGGTATGTTGCCAATAGGTGCGTGGAAGTATCGGCATTGTTCTGCAATTAATTCGACAATCTGTTGACTCTTCAGGTAGTGACTGATCATCATTTTCGCGCCGATCTTCTGCCATTCTAATGTGCTGTACAGATTCTCAACGTCTCGCACGTGCGTGCTGACAAGAGGGAAATCGTTGAGAAGTGGCATTTCGGTAGTTAACACAGTCTTGTCGAGAGCAGTTTGATTAATAATAATTGTAGCACCGTGCTTTTCGTTCTTATATGTTGTTAAGGCTGCTTGCAATGTACGACACACATATTGAAAGTTTGTTTCAGCTTGTATCATAAACTGCATAATTTCAGGCAATTCGCTTATACTGTCTTCGCCATTTTTTTCCAATGTTGCTTTACGTTCGTTCGTGTATAATGTATTCATGTTCGGTAGTTGATTAGAAGCGACTGAATCTAAGATGAATATGTGAGCCCTTCTGCTGGCGCTTAAGAATAAGCCCCATAGTGCTCTTTGACGGTTTGAACTCCAATGATGATAGAGAAATATGTAGTTGATCGATTCATTTCGCTTGAGATAAGGATGAAAAGCGATACTCTTGTATTCCAATTGATCTAGAGTAAAGGTATCGGCACCATCTGCTACTTTACGCATAACACGCGGATCGACTATGCACACGCATCCCAACTGCAATATGGCCCGAAATTCCAATGACATTTGCGTCTCGTAGATCCCTTCAATTTCTGGTTTATTTAAGTCTTCCAGGAGCTCCCGACTATGCTCTTGAAATAGAGATTCTGGTAGAGAATATTGATACAAGTTGTATATTGGACGAGAGCGTGGTAAAGATCTGAAACTTTTCTTCCAGAGCTCGTTAGGTCCTGGATCGGGTCTTGCTTTGCGGGTGTTTACGTAAAATATGCGGGGTACTACGAGACGTACTTGATGCAGTTGTGTGTCGACCAGTATCCACAATCGAAACATCCCGGGTTCACCGGTTTCCGATAGCTGGATGATTTCCCACGGAGTTTCCAACAATTTCCTTTGAGCGCGTCTTAAAAAGCCAGTCATGGTAGATGTATTTGTATTTCGTATGACTCCCCAGCCAATTCCGTCGGTTTCATTAGTTTTACTTCTCTTTTTCTGATGCTGATTTCTTTGTTTAGCCTGGAAGGTCCATTTTTTCTTATGAAACTCTAACCATTTAAGCCTCTCTTCTTTCGTTTTTCCCATGGGAGGAGGTGAACCCAGTGCTTCTTTCCAACTTTTCGCTTTGATTGTCTCATCTTCATCTGAATGCTGTCTTTTCCTCTTGTTAACAACTGACATTGGGGTCGTGAAACTAGTGGACGGTCCTGCGAGGTCTTCAATATCACGGGGCTCTTCGGCACTGTTCGTATGAAAAGTGTCTTTATCTACTACAGAAAATATATCTGTGATCTTTTTTTGACGATGGGATGAACTTTTCTCCATGACTTTCTTATGTAACCATGGTGGATGCTGCACTCGTGGAACTGGATTCGGTAAGCCTTGCATCGCCGCTGGTATAGTGATTATTTTTTGAATAGCGCTCCCGATTCGTTCAATGTAATAGTTCCAATCTAAAATATCTCTTATATCCTCACTGCACAAAGTAGGATCCTTCAACCACTTTTTCAAGTAATGCCTTCGCACAGCCGGTTCTGATTGAAAAATAGCCAACGGTATCGCGCGCTCAGTAACTGGTGCGCTTTGCGGTTTATTTGCTATAACATATCTACAAGCTAAACCTGCATCTTTAACCATCTCATCGCCTAAGAATTCGGCTAATCTTTTAGCCGTAGAAATCGACGTGGACTTCTGTGCACCATATTCTTCCAATTTACGCGACATGGATTTGTTTTCGGATATAAGTTCGAACAGTTCGGAATCAGGCATATTCGCACATTTACTGTACAGTAAATCCAGCCAATAATCTGCGTCCTTCGCGACTGAAGCGTAACATTCTTCTAATGTATTTCCTTTTAAGAAGGATTCAAAAACAGAAGCTTGAAAAATTTTTATCAGTTGCAATTCACCCCTTCTTTTTATTTCAAATCCTTTTAGTTCGGCTAGAGAACCGTCGAAATTAAAAACTGCGTATCGTTTCTTTAATTTCTTTCCTTCTTCTTTTGCAGCAGGTAACACCATTGCTAGATACGGTCCATCAACTTCAAAAAATATAGAATTTTCACTTTTGATTTCGTACGTTAAATTATCTTTATCCACAAGCTCATGATATACTTCATTAGTAAATTGATCCTGTGTAAAATAAAAAAATATAGTAACCAAAAGAAAAAAACATACTTTTTGTTTATTTATACATACCTTCACCATAAAATTAAGGACTGCATTTGGATACGAGACCGTAAATTTCGATTTCTTTTCATGAGTAGTATGAACTATGATAGAATCT